TATAGTATTTCTGAATTAAAACTTTACTACAATAGATCATAACTTTTATATAGTACTAAAATTACTTGAAGACAAGTAATAGTTAAGTTTGGGGGATTTTGATCAAAGAAAAATACGTTGAGATTTTCATACCTATTTTATATTGTTTTTGATGATAATGCACTTTAAGGAAAGTTATTTTTGATGTTTTGTTGTAAGAATAATGAATTATGGTCATTGGAGCAAAAAGATGCAAAAAGGAGCGAATTTGGAGCAAAAAGAACCAAAATGTGAAGATTTGAACTAGGCTGCCGACAATGAGCCCAACGGCGCCGACGGGGAGAAATTATCGAGACTTTAGATTTAATGATTTAGAAAGCCCGCCGACAGCTCCCTCGAGGCCGCCGACGGCGAGATCGGCGGGGCGGGGGCTGGGATGAACTCTTGGGAAAAGTTATCCACATCTTTAAAAAGAAGATTTTGGCCGAAAATTGGAGACTCTGTCTAGGGGAAGGGGCTCAGGACGGGGGGTGTTAAGTGTTGGGAAAGTGTAGAGAGTCTAATTGTGAGGAGTTCTTCGAGAGATTGTAAGAGTGGAGGGAAAGTGAGAGATTTCTTCCTCCTTACTGCTTTGAAGAGGAATTTTGTGTGTTGTAAAGGAAGGGAGAGATTCAGATGAACTTTGAGGAGTTTTCTTGAGGAGGAATTAGAGATAAGTGTTATTTACTTGTTGTAGTTCGTATGAATTTGCTTTTATATATGAATTCCGAGTTTTGTTATGTCTTCCCCATGAGTTCTGAGTAATTTTCTCTGTCTTTCTTCTTGTCTTGAGATTTGTGAAATGATAATTTGAATTGGTTGAGCCATGAAAATGTTAAAGAAGTTGTGATGATCTTTTCACTTCGATCTTAATTTACTTTCAATCTGGTTAATTGATTTGTTAAAATATGTTGAGTTTTACAACTAAAGTGGAGATTACATCCAAGATTCAGGGAGGTCAAAGCCCTTGGAAGTTGGGTGCAAATAAATAGGGAAATAATATTATTAGGCGTAGAATTGGAGATTTTAGAGTGACAGACTAAAATCCCCAATTCGGTCCTATCGTTTGAGTGTTGAAGTGTAGACGTTCGCTCTGAGGCGAGAGAAATGTAGGAGCTCCGAAGTGAGAGCCGATCCTCCCAGCCTAGCCACAAATTCAGTAAACAAGCATAGGATTAGTCAATATTCTTTATGCCTGGACCAAAGTGTAAAAAATAGACATGCTCCTATTTGGCACAACACAATTTGAACTGATTCACTTTATCCATTCACTATAATTTCTTGACAAGGAGAATTATGCTTTCTTATATATTGAACATCACATTAAGAACTTTATTAGTATAATTAGTTATTTAAGAGTTATTAAAATTACATATTTCTTTCAATTGCCTATTAGTGACAAATAAGCAATTTGAATTCCATTATTACGATTAAGTATTGCTTTTCTAAAATCTTAGTTCGTAGTTCTAATATTACTCCCTGTGGGATCGATATCTAGGACTCTATTAGAGCCCTATGTTACTTGAGCGATACATATAATTGCGTTGATAAGTGTGACTTTACCATTATTGAATAATTTATATATACATCTTTATCGAATCTATAACTGTTATTAAGTTTTTGGTGTCGTCGTTGAGGAATTAAATCTTTTAGCAGCAATATTAAATACTTGTATTTTTAAGCATATATAAAGTCGCTGTCACCCACCAACCCAAAATTAACACACTAACCCGAAATTTACATGAAACCAACCCGTCTATCTGTAATTGACCCAAAATTAACTTGAATTTGACTTGAAATTGACACGATTTTGAGCTAAAATTGATATGAATATTTATTATGCCTAAGTTAAATGGGTTATGCGGGTCGGGTCCAAGTCGACTGGTTGAAGGCACGTCGAGTTTGGGTTGAACTTTTTACCCAATTTAATATAAATTTGGGTTTGAGTCGAGCAGTTTCAATTGAGTCAATTTTGTGTCAGGCCCAAACCTAACCAATAAAACCCAATTTGACACCCCAATCTGTACCATTGTCTACTGCATCTGATCTTCACCATCTTAGCAAAACATCCACCTTCCTAGACGTTTATCACCATACTGCCACCTTTGGTTCACAATCGCTCAACCATTGCCATCGTTGGACCACTGTGGCCAGACCGTCATTATCATTGGACCATCGTTACCTCGTGGGTAGTCGACACCATTGTCGTCAAACCACCATAGTTGAATTGCCACCATCAGACCTCCATCACTTGGTCATCGCTATTGCTGCTATCGAACCATTGTTACGTGGTTGAATCACCATTGTCGCACCACTTTTGTCCGATAGTTCCCATCATCATCGCCAAACCACACTTGCCTAATTGCCACTGCCATCGACGCCATTGACATCATACCTCCACAATACAACACCCATAATAATTCTTCCATCACTGTGTCCGGTTCACTGCACTTCGTCAATATTTTTTGTCATTCCTCTAGTGAAAGTCAAGTTGCCAACCCCCAACCCTTCTAGTATTGATTTATGATGTTCAAGGACATGCAAAGCCTAGTAACATTTGCAACATGCAAAGCCTAGTAATATTTGCAAAATAGAATAATTTTAACAGCCAACTTACATTTTTTTGTCATTCCTCTAGTGAAAGTCAAGTTGCCAACTTACATTTGCAAATTCTAATTGCCAACTCCCCACCCTTTTAGTACTGATTTAAGATGTTCAAGCCTTATAATTTTTCTTCTGTGAGGTTTTCCATAGATAAATTATTGGGTGACTTTTGAGCTCTATTTCATTTGTTTATACAAGTTGCACTTGCAAAATTAAAACGAGAAACACATATACTCTACCATCACGAACTTTCTCACACTCGCCAAATATAGTTGGCATAACAAAAAATTTTAATGTATTTGGAGATGACCACCACTCTTAATAAGTTGAGTATGGTCTTCCTTAAAATGCACATTAGTTGTATGAATCTTAAACAACTATAAAGTATAGTTGTTGGCTTCATAGGCTCTATTATTCCCTAAAATGATGATCACATCTCAAACATACTTTTCTATGGAATTGGCTTCTTGCAAAATTTTAAAGGGATACTTACATCCATATCACATAATTATTAATATTTACGTATCTAACGCCCTACTTTCTTATTTATATATATAACACTTATATCTTTAATATCACATCTAAAATATAGTATTATTAATTTTTAAAAAGACATACCCTCTTTTCTCCATAGGTTATAACACCAAAGTGTTATTAATGCAAATCACAACCTTTAGATGCTACATATGTAAAAAAATATAACAATTGTGTTGTTTGTACATAAATATCCCAATTTAAAAAATCACCCTCTTTATACATACATACAAACATATATATACATACATACAGGCATATACATATATATAGTGCCACAAGTTGTGACCTGTTGGTTGGCGGGATTCACTGTAAGTCCCCTCAGATCACCGGTTCGATCCTTAGTGGTGTTGTGTTCTCGAATATTTAGGCAGGCACATGACATAAGTTCTCATCATGAGGTCTAGTGCATGAAAAATTGTTATTTGAGTCTCTATCAAGAAAAAATATTACATCAGTACTACGCACGTAGAGTAACGTGTGTAGTCAATGAAATCACGCCACGATCCCCCGCGCGACGCAGAAAAAAAACGGCGCAATAACACGGGGAATATTCCCCCCCTCCCCGTGTTATTCATATGTTATTTTGTGTTATTCATGTGTTATTGTGTGTTATTCATGTGTTATTATATCATGAGAATATTCCTGATGTTATAATAACACAATAACACATGAATAACACATGAATAACACACAATAACACAAAAATAACACAGGAGAAAGAATATTCCCCCGTGTTACCGCGCCGTTTTTTTCTCTGTCGGGAATATTTCCCGTGTTATTCAAGTATTATTATGTGTTATTCATGTGTTATTGTATATTGAGAATATTATTGGTCTATTGGTGTTATAATAATACAATAACACATCAATAACACATAAATAACACGCAATAACACACAAATAACACACAATAACACATGAATAACACAAGAGGGAATATTTTCCGTGTTACTGCGCCGTTTTTTTTGCTCTGCCGTGCGAGATGTCGTGGCGTGATTTGATTGGCTACGGACTTTATTTTTACGTGCGTAGTACTGATGTAATATTTTTTCTTCTATCAAATGCCGATTTCCTTTAAAACATGAATATATATATATATATAATAATAATAATCATAATAATAATAATAATATAATTTTAATTATTTGTATGTCTATCATGTTTATATATATAATAATATAATTTTAATTATTTGTATGTCTATCATGTTAAATTTATTATTTTTATTTATAACAGTTGACGTGATATCATAGACCAAAAAAAACCCGATAATCGAATTAAGCAAATTAATTAGGCGATAATGGAAAGGAAAACCTTCCCCTGCTTTGACATTCTTCCTCTCGCTCCATTTTCGGAGTGATGTCATCTCTTTCCTTTTCCCTCCGTCACTTTTCGCTCCAACTCCCTCAAAACCCTAACCCTAAACCCTTTCAATCAATCTACAAAACCCTATTTCTCTCCCGCTGTTCCTTCTCGTTCCATCGTCTCGCTCCCCTTTCATCCTCACAACTCCTCACACCCCACTCGCATTCTCAACAGCAGAAATCAGATTCCTCTTCTGGTTCCAACCCTTCCCCCGATGAAGATATTACGAGGCTCCTTCCGCCGGCACTTTGCGAAATAGTATCGCTCTTCCAGTCGGTTGGCGATGACCCCAAGGCCAAGTATCAACAGCTACTTCACTACGGTTCACAGCTTACAGCGCTCGATCCACGCTTCAAGAACAACGATTATCGGGTTCGCGGCTGCGTTTCCCAAGTCTGGGTTCGCGCTTTTCCGGATCCTGCTGATCCCGCCGCAGTACGTTTCGAGGCTGATTCCGATTCCGCTCTCACGAAAGGCCTAGCTGCCCTGCTGGTGTTCGGTCTCTCTGGATCACCGGCCTCAGTGATTGCCAGTGTGCCACCGGAATTCATCCTTATGCTTGGATTGCGACAGAGTTTAACCCCTTCGAGAAACAATGGGTTTCTTAATATGCTGCTTCTCATGCAGAAGAAGGCTCAGGAGATTCAGTGTTTGGGAGAAGAGATTGATTTTGATGATGAAGAGAAGAACTTGACGACCAATGTGAATGGTTGGAGACCTTTGGATTACGCTGAATCCAAGAAGACAATTGATGGTTCTAGGCCGGGAGCAGATGAAACTTCAATTTCATCGGACAGAGATGTGAACATTGAAATTGGGACTGTTGATGAAGAAGGTATTGCCTCGGAGGACAAGTTTGATGAAGGGATTGATAACGGTTGGCATGTAAATGATGGAGATGTTGATGGTGATCTTTCAAGTTTGAGTGGTGTGGGTGAAACAAGAAGGGAGAGGATTTGGAAGCTTTTGGAGAGGGCCCTTTCCCCTGTAGAATTGGATGTGGATGATATATCTCATCTTCATGCTGGGCATGCAGGTATAGGGGGTAGTAGAAGTGGAGAGACCCATTTTAATGTGAGGGTGGTCTCAGAGGAGTTTGAAGGAAAGAGTATGGTGAAGAGGCATCGTCTTGTTTATGATTTGCTGCAAGATGAGCTGCAAAGTGGATTGCATTCACTATCTATTGTGGCCAAGACTCCATCTGAAATTAAAGGCCCCATCTGAATATATGACAAATGAAGGTTCTTTTCTTTATTTTTCCTGTTTTTAATTTTTTCTGGTTGAGCATACAATAATATGATTTAAAAATACTGCTGTTGTTGTTGTATTCTTTTTTGTAGAACTCATCTTGCTTTCTTTGTTGTGAATTAGAAATTATTTCCAAATGTATCGCAAAGATATCGTTTTTTGTTCTGCTAATCAGAGAAACATTGTTGCTTTTGTATCAAACTTAGCATATTAAAATTGCTTCTCTTGTTTACGTTACCTTTTATTAAAATAGGGATCAATTAAGATAAATCTACTTTTTAGGTGTTACGGAAACCTTTTTTTGTTATTTTAATTGAATGAACTGTTGCTTTTATTTATTGTACATTTATGCTTAGAATGCATGTTTACCTAGTGAATGCAACTTAAATGTTAAACTACGTAGTTATATAGTTATAAATGCATAGTTTGACGTTTGACAAAAAAAAAAAAGTTTCAAAAAACTGCTGGAGATAAAACAAAGAACACCTCAGAAGGCATGTGTCATTTCATAATAGATTATTTCTTCATTGTCCAAATCTGGCATTCTGAATCTTATCTTATCCCATCTTATGCAAAGGCTTCCCCCAAACTGCTTGAATTTACCTTCATACTATTTTGTGGATGTACAGTTGTCTTTATAAAACACTGTTATTATTCTTTCATGATAAGATTTACTTAAACCTGAAGTTGCATTTTTATCATAGCTAAATTGAATATTTAACAATTAAATCCAAAAAAATATAAAACTAACCGTACTACATGCCTAATATATCAAAACATGTTAAGGCGAAGAAATTCTTATGGCAAAAAAATATAGAGGGAATATCAACACCTTAGCAAAGATCCAATAATGAAATTCAATTAAGAAATTATGTCTTTGCTGTCTATTTTGGGCGTTTTGAAACCCATCTTATGTGACTAATAGCCCAAAATTCTTCATATTTACATCATACTTTTTTTAGAGTTTTATATATTATTAGAATGTACTTTAAAATGGAACTTAGGTGGTTTGGACATATACAATGATGGGTAGAAAACACAAACATTAGACAAGAATTTAATACTAATGCTCAATAAGAAAAGTGATAGACCTTAGGTAATTTGGATAGAAGTTATTCAAAGTTATTTATAAAAAATATGTTTATCACCTTAGGAAACACAACAAGCATGAATAGAAAATTGTCTGATAATGTTGAACTTAAAATAATTGAGAGAAGGGTAATGCTGATGGAAAATGGTTGAATGCAACTTTCTAATAAATTTGTTTTGGCTGCTTGGACAAGTATAAAATCAAAATATACATTATCTCAAACAATAATTCTCAAAACCTACATTAGAGTCTAAAGGCTTTCGTTTGAGTAGATCTAAAATTGAATACATGGAATGTAATTTTAGTAATAGTAGCTCTAGTAGTAGAGTTGTAATACTTGGTGATCAAGTCATTAAAAAGAGTAAATATTTTAGATATCTCAGATCTATTGTTTAAAGTTATGGTGATATTAGATGTGGATGTTATTAGTAAAATTCAATTTGGATGATTGAAGTGAAGAAATGCATCAGTCCTATTGTGTGATAGAAAGTACTGTTTAGACTTGAAGTATTTATAAGATGGTAGTAAGACCTGCAATGCTTTATGGCCCAGAATGTTGACTTGTAAAACAAAAGTTTAAAATTAATTTAAGCATTGCTAAGATTAAAATGTTCAGGTGGATGAGTGGTTTTATACTAAGAGACAAAATATGAAACAAATATATCAATAAAAGGGTTGGAGTAGCTCCAATGACAAATAAGATTAGAAAGAGTCATCTTAGATGGTTTGGTCACATTAAACGTCGACCATCTGATGACCCTGTTATGATAATAGATGTTTTTGATTTCACTTATGTTACGAAAGGTAGTGGCAAACCTAAAAGGATTTAGGTATGTTGTATAAAAAATGATCTTAATTTATTAAAGTAAATTATGGAACTCAATAGGACACAATATAGAAAAAAAGGATTCATGTAGCCGACACCACTTAGTGGGATAAAGTCTTATTGTTGTTGTTGTCAACAATTTTCTAGAAACTCATCTTAAATTTCTCAAAAGGATAAAAAAAAGAGGCATAAATTTTTCAAAACCCCAAATTTGCTCAATAGATGCAAGTGAGTTTAGATGTATTGTGATTACCAATGATATGACTATTAGTTAAAATGAATCAAATGAAGAGGAGGATCAATTCAAGTGAAGAGAGACGATTGGATTAAACAAGTCTTGCTTGACTATAACAATATGCTCTTTAATAGCCCCTTTTTACACTTGCATAAGAAGTGACACTTTCAATAAAGTTTTAGGGATGTGAGACTCTTCTCGATTAGTTACATCAAACACATCAAGTCTTCTTTCAAAATTCTACTAAATTAATCACTGTAATTTGATGTACAAAACATTAAGACATAAACAAATGATTTTATGCAAGATTTAAAAAGATGAAATCGGGAACTAAAGTGTTTTATGTTAGTGAGGTGTGGTGTAAATCTCAAGGTGTAAGTCTCATAATAAAAAGAAAGTTTAAAACTTAAAATATCTTAAAAATATGTCATGCATTATTTATTTATTGATTTAATTTATGATCATAAATACATGAACTATAAATCTTAATTTTAAATGTTAAGTGTTGGAAACTCTTATTACAGTTAATAAGGCTTAACCACACAAGTTGTCCTAGTAATGTTCTAATCCCTTATCTAGGATGTATTCTCCTACTAGCAATATCTTTATTTCACCAGGTAAATGTGTGTTAACCTATTTTTTATTCTATTGACCTTTAAGAAGTCCTAGATCGGTAGAAGTTTTAAGTTTCTAATTAGCCCGATCATGAGTAAACTAAGATCAGAAGGTTAACATCAACGTATAAAATCAAAAAACATAGAAAAAATGTCTAGGAAAAGCTCAAGGATAAAACATCAAACGAATTACATGTCTTGCATCACAGGAGCATGAAGAAGATATAGCTACTATGCATGAGGAAAGAAAATAGAAAAATATTCATTGAAAACATTAAAAAAAATAGTGTAAGAAGGTACATAAAACTCAAACTCAAGCTAATTGATCTTGGTAATACATCACAATCTTCTCCGCACAATAAAAGCTCTTCGTCAATCTCCCTCGTACAAGTTCACACAGATCTATTCCTCTCAACTCTTATCGAACTCTCACAAAGACCAAACCGTACAAGTTCTCCCAAGGAAAATTCAAGAGAACTCAAGGGCATACAAGATTCTCCTCAAAACCAGGTGGAAAAGAGGACTCCTAATAACCAAGCATGCTTTAAGGTTTCAATGCATGAACATATATGCTTGAAGCCTCAAATCCATGCACAAAACCTTCCAATTTGATCAAACTACGAAACGGGCTTCTGGTGGACAGAGATCATGGCGCGGGAACACTTCCTTCGTAGTGTGGGGGCGTCACAGTCTCAGGAGGCAAGCACGGGTGACGCGGGGCTGTCGGGCTCTTGATCGAGCAGCGCGAGTGTGCAACTAGTAGACTCGGGGGTGTCGATCTCTCAGGAATG